CTATATTATTAATATATAATTTATAGTTGATTATTGTATATTTTGTATTAGTATATAATAGATGTGACAGTTAGTGTGTAATGGATATGACAGTTAGTGCATAATAGGTGTGACAGTTAGTGTGTAATAGATGTGACAGTTAATGCATAATGGATATAATAGTTAGTGTGTAATAGATGTATTAGTTAGTGCATAATAGGTGTGATAGTTAGTGCATAATGGATGTGACAGTTAATGTGTAATAGTGTGATAATTAGTACATAATAGGTGTGACAGTTAGTGTATAATAGGTGTGACAGTCAGTGCGTAATAGATGTGACAGTTAATGTGTAATAGATGTGACAGTTAATGTGAAATGAATATAATAGTTAGTGCATAATAGATGTGATAGTTAGTGTGTAATAGGTGTAATAATTAGTGCGTAATGGGTGTAACAGTTAGTGTATAATGGATATAATAATTAGTGTGTAATAGGTATGACAGTTAGTACATAATAGATATGACAATTAGTACATAATAGACGTAACAGTTAGTGCATAATTAGTGTAACAGTTAGTGCATAATTAGTATGACAGTTAGTATGTAATTGGTGTGACAGTTAGTGCATAATAGGCATAACAGTTAGTATATAATAGATGTGACAGTTAGTACACAATAGTTGTGATAGTTAGGTACACAATAGTTGTGATAGTTAGTATATAATAGGTGTAACAATTAGTGCATAATAGATATGACAGTTAATGTGTAATGGCTGTGACAGTTAGTGTGTAATAGTGTAATAGTTAATGCATAATAGGTATGACAGTTAGTGTATTATGTGATTGCTATCTACTGTATGCGGGTACTTTAATTTTATAATTTATATAATAGGCTGATATTTAATAAAATCAGCTAGGCTGGTAGTTAGTAAATCTCTTTAATACTTTAATTTTATTATCACCAGACATTGATGTATATTTTCACTTGGTGGACTCTTTCCAAAACTAAAATTTGATACCAAGACAATCCATTTCGTCCACAATAATTTGGCAGCTAATATTATTAAATAAATTCCGTTCTTTAATTTCTGACAATATTAAAGTTCAAAGCTGATCTTTAACCTGTAATAATGCATACAGCTCGTCAAATACATAGTTGAACAAAGAGATCATATCAAATAGTGGCAGTTTGATATAACCAGATATGTTAATGTAGGTGTTATTTTTTAAATTATTCATTTACTTTGTAATATACCAGTCCTGTGTTATATTACCAATTTCATGCTTAGAACAAAGACACCAAATACAAAAATGATTTGAATTGGCCGCATTTAGTCTAAAACAGATTGAGAAGAATTTTTAATTACTACTAAAATACAGTTCAAAGTGTTAAAGAGTATCTTCAACCTCCAACCAATTAATTTTAAGATCTCTAAAATTATTGAGAAATAGATTTAATATAACCTCAAGTGATTCACACTTCTCAATTCCTGGATATAATATAATAATATAGTGATAACTAGGCATATGATGGTGCTCTTGATCATTAAGAATCATGAAGATAATTATAACATATTTAACTTTCCAATCACATTTCAGCCATTACCAGAAATCTGCAAATAGATTATCAGATTATTAATTGATAATATATTTTCACATACTAAATAAGGAATTAGATATCAAAGAATTTCTTTATAATCACAATATCTACCAACACCCACAGTTTAGATCTTTATTATAATCTATATTATTAGACCCTTTTTCAATATCTTTTTTAATGTCTTCAACATCATCTTCAACAATTTCCAAGCTATCTATTTTTGTGTTTATATTAACAAGTTTAATTGGAATGTCTTTAGTCATTCTTTGAGTTAAATTATTTTGTTCAATTACAACAAGGTGTTCATGTAGTAAGTGATAATCTATTGCAGCTAAACTTCAATAAGCATTGTAAGAAATATAATTCAAATCTATTATTTGAACTATATTTAAAATATCTCACTGTTTTTGTGTATTATCTGTTTCAAAGCTAAGATAATAATTCTGGCTGTTAACAGTATATTCAAATGACTTTAATAAAACAAAGTCTTTTTTTTTTGTAGTCAAGGTTAGCCTCTTTGGCTCACTGCTTTTTATTAGATATTAGGATCATGTGGTGTTCTTTTCAAGAAGGCCTCAGACAAGTATATTCTGACAAGAGTATATTCTAGCCATACCTGCACTTTTTGAGTGGCTAATTAAGTATCTATCTATTACTAGATTCTACACTAAATATTGTATCTGTAATCTACTATTACTTGAGCTATCCAATTAAACCTTCTGATCTGAGTTTCTTATGCCAATCCATCTAACCTCACCCGGAACATGCAATATATTAGTCAGTCTAATTTTCAAGGTTGTTACAAGTTACCTATAGGACTACTAGTATTTAACCAATTCATCCTCGAGTGCATCACCTGCTAGAGTCATCTGTCATCTACTTTTAATATATGACCTAGTCTTTATCAGATAGATATTACTGGATAGATTTTATACCTTTACAGGCAGGCCACATTACCAATTTCTATAGCAGATAGGTAGCTGAATAGGTTCTAAACCTTTACAGGCAGGCCACACCACCTAACTACCTGGCCCTTGCAAAGTTTATCCAAGCCTAGTACCCTTTCTTCAAGACAACCTAGTACCTTCTCTTTTAGTATTCTCTAGCTAGTCTCTCTAGACTACAAATCCAGATGGTCTGGAAAAGACATCAGTCTTTTTCCCAGTCAACCTGGTAGCCTAGTTGGTGGAGTAACTTGCCAGTACTCTTGTCTTGTCTAGTTTTTTAGCCTCAGATAGTGTTTATTCTGGTAGACACTATCGAAAGCTTGTGCTATCTCTTTACTGAGATCTTGCTAAGCGGGCTTCCTATAGCCTATTCATCAGATTAATATGATCCAAGAACTTATTATGAGTTTACGCCACCTTACCAGTTTTGTATCCTCTTTGTGCAACTTGTACATTATACAAATGTCCCAAAATCTCTCTTAGATTAACCCGATAGTGCAATAGATATTCTTCCTATATAAGGTATAACCAATGTTACAGGATCTTCTTCCCAATATATGAGAGAGTTGCCGTTATATAAAAGAATTCAATTTTTCACCATTGGTGAGAATTGAACTCTAGATGTGCCACTTGGAGGGTGACAACCCAACCACTTTACTAAGTTACTACACCCCCCTAAATAGAATCTTTTTCATGATATTTAAACACTGAATTTTGAATAAATATTTTTTTAATAATGGTTGCAACATCTTTTGCATGCTTATTAAGTGCTGATTCAAAATAATAACCTGCAGGTTTAATTAAATCTTGTCTTATACACTTATTATGATTTGCTGAATTAATTAAATATTGCCTATTTCAAGATTCTCTAAGCATCTGGAGCTGTAATCCAAACAACAATGGTTCAGATAATCAACTCGTTTTATTTATAGTCTTTCCATAATTTGTTGCAGCTATTGAAGCAGATATATACGATTTAACTTTATATTTAAGAAAGTCACCAAATCAAATTTGAAATTCTAAGCTTTCATTTTTATATTGCTGATTTTTACTATGTTCCCAGCTGGTTATCACAGAATAATTATTAGGGATTAGATACTTTTTAGAAGGCAATGTATAGCGAAGTTGAGAAATATCTGAACAAAACTCTTCTGTATCTATAAAATATTTAAATGACCATTGTGCTATATTATTTTTTTCTTTATAAATAATTGTGAAGCTTTGAAGATAATCTTCTAGCTTAGAAGTTTCTAATTCAGTTTTATTTGAATAATTTAAATAGTTTGACATGACTGTTGATTAAGTGGTAAATTTTTTAAAAAAACTATTTTTTATAGAAGATTTTATTCATAAAGCACCATATTTAAGGTTTATATTTTAATTATAAGCAGGTTTATTTTAGTATGATAAATTAATTATAAACACAATCATTCCATCACAATATATTAATTATAAGTGTGATTATTGCAATACAATAAATTACCAAACAAAAGCACTGATAATAAAAATTAAGATCACATTAGTATAATAAATTAGAAAACAAACAAACACAAATAAATATTAAGATGTTGAATATGTAATCTAAAAGAAACTATTACAATCTATGCATCATGCTTAATCGATCAATTCAACATCAATATCAACTCAATATCTATATGCCTCAGAAATACTTTACGGTTTGCACTTTTCTAATTTTATTATCTATATTGTCTTTATTCTAAATTAGCATTAAACATTTTATACCAAAATCAAATATGCTATTCATATAATTAAGATCTCTTGTTACCCTAGTAAGTTATTCTCAACAAAAGAAAGAAATATCTCGAACAAAAAACATTTTATTACAATCTGTGTCTTCAGACTTAAGTATAATTGTAAAATAACTTTTTCGAATTAGATTACTGATTTTTTTAATATTGAACCTGTAAAGTTAAACATATATATGATTGTCTGCTTTATGCAATACTATGCAGAAAGCAGCAAAATAAGTTATAACTTAAATTCAAAAAAGAAATTTATACCATTGCTCAATCAAAAAAAGAATTCAAACAAAAAGCACACTCATCTTAAGAATAATAAGTGTTATTTATAAATATTTTAAATTTGTCTTTAAAATCTAATATAGTATATACGTACATATATAAATTATAATCTTTTGAATAGTTATTAACCATTTTGATAAAATTTCTTTTGTATGCACAAAGTATTTCGCTATAGATGAGTGTTTAGATCTATACAATTTCAGAAGTTTCTGAGATCATATAAGTTTTCCATGGCAAATCTGGCTTAGAGATGAAATTGAGATTTTTATTGAAAGTATTTACAGATGCATGGATTATTCATAATAAAAATTTCAGCATAGGTTGATCTATACGCAGTAATTTTATATATGCATATTAGAATGCTACTATTGCTACCACTATCGTTATTCAGATTAAAATTATATCAAAGATGTATATCAGTATAATGTATATGTATTTGCACTAAACTATATTATATATACATTTCTAAGCCTCAATTTAATGTAGAAAGACCCAAATGTAATCAGAATAATTGTTAGTGAGCGATTATTTTTATAAATGAATAAAAATTTATTGACAAATTGCATATTTGCATGAATTAATAGTATATACAATAACAATCGATTTTATTAAGTTCATTATCTTTATATAAATCTAGTTTTGTTTATTAATTATATAATATCTTTACAACATCCACTTAAAGTATTTTTTTAATAACTTACATTTAGCTAAAATACCGCCTAGACGTTACAATCCCAAGAAAAAAACACTTAAACAACCCAATATTCAATATAAATAATGACCCAAGATTATTCAATATAGACAACCCAATATTCAATATAGGCAACAACCCAATATTCAAAATAAATGAAATATAGAAGAAAAAGTGGTGTTCAATGAATTTTTTGAAGAAACAGAATTTGAAAAAGGTCTAGTATCACTTTTTAAATGAGACCTAACATTAAAGGCACCCAATATTATAGACCAGATGTCAAAGACATCTAATATTATAGACCAAACACCAAAGGCACCTGATATTATAGACCAGAAGTAATTGAAATTACGAAACTGAGATTACAGATTATTGAGAAAATCAAATAAACTTAAATTTAATATTATTGTAATAAATACCATGTTTTGTAAAATAATATTACACCCCTTAGCATAATATACTTGCTTCCTTTTTTAATAATCTTGATGTAAAAGATTTGATTATAATAGTATTAATTAAATGTGAACTAACTTACACATAGTCTTTAATACTTGAATTTTGTTTCTCTTGAAATTTTTAGCTATGTAATAATAAAGATGTTGATCAATTCGAAGGATTGAAAAAAAGAGTAAAGAATATGTTAAAAGCTTAGAATGACAAAAATAATTCCTATGCACAATGTGAACACCTTAAGTCTTTTATAAAGAACTTAAATATTATCATATAAAAAAAATTATCTACGAATATTGATGATTACAAATGTAGTTATCTTTCACTTATAATTTTTCAAACCAAGTTACTGAAAATCTATTATCAACTTGTTGAATAATAAACAATCAACAAAAAAAATCTATTAAATCACCATTATATTTTGTTGCTTTCTACTTGTCCTTCTGTGAGCTATTATTCTCTGAAATAATATGACTAACACCAAGTAAAAAAATGGTTAAATCAGTACAGACTCTAAATTATTTTTTTTATGACTAACTTTATTAAATACCTGAACAAGATCAAAACTATAGGTGCAAAAGATTCATATAACTGGGTTAGCTATTGTAAATGCATTAACATGTCTATATAACCGTAACATAGGTAAAAAGAATAGTAATGATAAATAAGCGTTTATACATTTTAACGCAGCACATAAATTTTTTATAATAAGCATAATGTCAAACAACCTGACCCTCCTATAAAAATTTTTGGAGTACTACGTCTACAGTTGCATGTCCTCGCATGATTCTGCATATTCGCCTATATGACTGACAAAAATAATCATTTAAGGCAAAAAGTACTTACACCGCATAACCACTTATGTTAAGATTATTCTACTGCATGACGGTTAAAATTAAAAAAGGGTAAATATCATATTGTCTTATTTTACGTGTATTTGTCTATTCTCTAACAATTTGTTATAAATTCTTTTACATGTATTTGATAGTTTGTAAACTTTATATGAAGTTTTTTCATTTTCAAATTGTATTGAAAACAATAAATTTTTTAAAAAAGACTTGTACCAAAGTGTATCTATGGTGTTTTACACCTATGTATATATTATCTCAAAAACTGGCTAATTAATCGGTGTG